CATTTTATATTTTAAATATAAAGAAATTATTGCGCTTTGCAGGTTGGCTATGTTAAAACTGAGATATTATATTTCATTTTAGAGAAACATAATAAATGAGTAGTTTTTAGTTTCTTTTTTTATCCCTTTACCAACGTTCCAGAATTTACCCACATACCTTCGTCAATTTATTGACGCTAAAGTTTTCTGGGATTTTCTGGAATTTTAATGAAAATGACTTTCCGGCATTTTCCGGGATTTTCAAAGAAAAAAATTTAAGGGATTTTCATAAAGTCAAAAACTAATCTATGGTTTATATACATAAATGTGCCTATATATCAAAATATTTTATATTTCTCTGAATCTATATGAATATTATCTCAAAGAAAAAATTAAGAATAGAAAAAATTTGAATATATATACATATATATATATATATATTAATTTAGACTGACATTGCTTCATTTTTTATACAAGATTCTGCATCTATTATTTTTGTGCATTAAGATTGTCCCTGAAGGCTTTCTTAATTTAGCAAAGAAATTTCTTTGCTAAATTAAAATAATGTCAATAAATTTTGTTTTCTATTTTTCAGTTGTAAAAATATAAAAAGTTCATTTATTCAGTTGTAACAGTAGTATAATCACTGGTAATATATATTTAATGATAACAGATGTATAATATTAGGTTCGAAGAAGTTATATATATTTAATGATAACAGATGTATAATATTAGGCTCGAAGAAGTTATTAATGTAAATGGTTATAGGTGACTTGAAATTGTTGTCATATGAAAGAAATAAATCTAGACGTAATAAAATTATTTGTCGTTGAAATTGAAGAAATTTTGCTTGATGAACCGAAAATATACTTGACAGAATTCAGTGTCAAGCGGTGTTGATGTCTATTATTTGACTTTACATTAGACACTTTAAAATAAAGCAAAGTATGAATTTTACTATTTATAGTAACAAATAATAACAGTTTCAAATTTGAAATTATTTTTTTTTTTTTTTTTAATTTTAAACATAATTGTGTTCATTTTTTTTTTTTAGATGTCTTTGTCATCACTTGATTATTTTGCTTACTGTTGAAACATGGTTTTAATTTTGTAAATTTAATATGATGTGAAATTTATAATATTAATCATATTTCAACAGTTAGTGAGAAGCTGGAACTTATTTAAGAAATGCTGGAAATTAACTTTTAGTTAAGGTAAAAATAATTTTGTTTATTGGAAGCAAAATAAAACCAGATACTGTTATTTATTGCATGACTTTTTTACTTTTCTAACATGCTGTTTTTGAAACAACTTCCTCTCTCTCTTAGATGAGACTTAAATAAGAATAAGTATTGAGAATTGTTGAGAGATAATTGATTAAACTCTGTAATTACTTTGTTTTTAATGGTAAATAACTTTTAAATTCCTGTTGTTCAACAATGCTCAAACCTGAAGGACGAGCAACAGGTAGAAATGTATGCATTACAGTAGTTTTCTTACCATTTATATTTTTTCCATCTAAAAAATTATTTATTATATGTAAGCATCTTGATTTAGTTGTAATACTATAGTGAATAGTTTCTAATCTTATAAATTCCATATCATATTTTTTTCTTTATACTTATAATAATTCTTATATAAATTATTATAAATCATTTTATAACTTATTTACTTTATTTTTCATAAACAACTGCATCGTCTAATTTGACTTGTATAGATTGAATAGTTGAGCCTACATACACACCTTCAATTTTTAAACAATCGACAATATAACATCTTTTTTTAATAAGATTATGTCCTTTTTTTTTTTTTTCATCATCATCTGCAGATCTAAATACAGTCTCCATCTTAACATCTTTACCTTCTGTTGGTATTTTTGCAAAAATGACAGGAGGTTCATTATTATTGCATTTTAGAATTTTTAAGTTGTCAGTATTAAAATTTTTCACTTTATTTTTTAACTATTTTTCTTTGACTTTATTTCTCAATAAATTGGATCATTGCAATAAATTTTTCTTCTTCTTCAGTCTTTCCTTTCATTTCATTAATGCAAACAATTGAAATTGAATATCCAGTAAGTTTATTCGTTTTTGGATCTCTATTTTCAAAAAAACCATATGAAAATAATTTTGGTTTTGTGACTATTATTGCCTTGCTAGTTTTATTTTAACAAATTCTCTTTTTTTGATAATAAACAGGTTTTTAATAATCAATTACTACATCAGCACACAATTTTTCCTCATCAATATTTTCAATCTCTACATATGATATTTTTATATATGCAAGAAAAATTATTTAAGTCATTTTTTCATTTGTATGTATTTGCAATTTTTTCATTTGTATGTATTTGCAAAAATGATCTAAATAAAAATGATCTTTTTATACATAAAATGCATAGAATGTTTTTGGATCCTGAAAAGTATAAAAGGGAGCAATATATGATAATTTTTACTCAACATGAAGGTTTAGAGCATGAACATATAGATGATAATAATGAACGTATTAGAGTATTTGCTCAGCAAGAATTTTTTGATAAAACCAAATTCACATCATTATATTTCTTTAAAGTGTGGAGTAAAAATTATAAAAGGTTATGTATTAATTG